GTAGCCAAACTTCGCCATTGAGAGGAGGTGTTGAAGCAGACAACGTGGGAATATTTCTTACTCCTTATTTTGTTTGGCTCAAATAAACCCTAACCTGTTTTATAACCAGTCATATTTCAGGATGCGATGATTCAAGTGTCCGACCAGCTGTTTCAATTTTATGCCCAAATCGTTCAAAATCAGGGTCAAAACACAGAAAAGTCGGTGATTGAGGTCAGCCGCCCTCCCTCTTTTAGAGTTCCTAATTATGCCCCCTCTTACTACCGAAATTTTTAGATCGTCAACAAATTACGTCAGTTGGCACGTGAAAACGCTGAGGATCTGCCAAAGGTTTCCCTTGCCGATGAAGGTGTCGAAAGTGGTGCCGATATGGATGCCAGCGGTACAAAAGCCATTCCGCTGAATTCGGACCGAGCGGTAAGTAATTATTTGTTTACAAAAGGGCCACTTTGTCCTGCGCAAGGCAGAAAGGTAAGCCTTGTTCGGCGCAGATGCTGGGGCGTTACGGGGGACTGGACGCCCTTTCGCTCTCCACCAGTTGTCCCTCTCGCTCCAACTGTTTTTGCATACCGGCAAACCCGGCACTCTCCGTCTCCCTTAGGCACCTCAGCAACTGCAGTGAACAAGACTGTATGTTTTGATGGGCATGACGACTGAGACCGACCACGCTCTACCCCTTATCTTTCCACCTGCAGCCTTCAGTAGGAAATCCAGTTCTAGGCTGTGATTGATTAACAGTTTCAATGGTCCAATGATTAGCGGTGGAGTGCGATCGGTCTCAGCCGCCATTTCCCATATCGCGTGGCTGAATCGCTCGATTTGCGAAGTGTGAACGCGGCTTGAGCTGATCAAGTCAAACCTAGCTAGGATATAGCTGCTGTGCTCATAAATGGCTTCAGGTTCTTGCACCGTCCTTCATCCGAGAAGTCGATCCACGTCTGGCTAGTGTCAAAGTCGCCGACATTGTTAGCGAAAGCGATCTCCGGCAGCGAATCCTTACCGGTTAGTTGCAGTAATAGCCCTCCACCGTATTCCCAGACAACGGGCTTTTATCCAGCTTTTTACCAAGGCTTATCCAAAGCTCTATTAATGTGACAAGCTAAGTGTATTTCTAGATGGCAGCCCATTATCGCAGACAAGTGATAGTTTGAAGAAATTGTTGACAACGGTGAAAAGAACCGCTGAACAGGCGCTCAATCAAGCAATTCCCTCATCGCAGCGGTGGAGCCGAAACTGATGATATCCTGATGCAGAACATGAAGTTACGATCCTTACTGAGCACCAAACGGTTAGTTCTCGTTTTTTATATGCCTCTCCCCTAAGGGCCTTTATTTTCCATCGCTGTATGTTTTGGTTCAGAGTTCTGTATTTGCGGGCTGCAACATGGCCCCTGATTAGAGCTTCAAGTCGCTACCTCTGTCTGACCCAGCGTAACTGGATGTGTATGTCGCCGGCGTTGTTTGTTGATTGGCCACTGGCGCAGTTTTGTCGCACAGGGGGGGCATTTTGCACATGCGCGACTCCCATCGACGTGTCGGCCTATCTAGACAGCCTCTTATCGAGTTGACAGGTTTTACCGTGATGGCTTGACTACTTTGTTCCAGCTTCGCACGAGTTCACAGGTTTCGCCAGAGTGAAACATGTAAACCGGAACTGAAACAGCGCCTTGGCCACTTCATCCCACTGCAAGTTGGTGTACAGTCCAGGGTACAACATCGTTGGGAGGGTCCCATTGGGGAGTCCCATCAGGGAGAGAATGAGGGAGGGGGGGTCGAATGTGAGAGTTTGGGCTTGATAAAAAGTTTTCGATAGCTGGATGCAGTTGCTGGTGGCGACCTCCTCCACCCCATCCGCTTCGACGACAGTTTCCTGGGAAAGAGGAAAAACGGAAGAATTGCTTTGGAAAGTTGGGAAAAAAGGAAAAGTGGTAGGACCTTGGTGATAACTTGGGAAGTTGATAGGTAGCATCGGGGAGGGACGTCGTAACGCTTAGTGGGTGGTGTAGGTCATCTGAAGAAAGTGGAGTTCCAACCAATGTAGCACTGTGCCCGTTGTAGGAAGGAATAACTGGCGTTCTGCGACGGGGTTTAGGAGGGGTAATCTGTTCTTTCGCTGCTTCCCATTGTCGTGTCGGGCCATCAAGTAGAGATTTGTGAGATCTTAACTTGAAGTGATACCAAAGTTCGCAGAAACTACTTGTCAGCACTTGTAAAGAAGTCCTGTCAACCCTTGTAAAGCATTGAACACGGCAATGGGAAGCAGCTAAAGTGCACAATGCCCCCCCCCCTCTCTCCCCGGACTGTGCCCCGAAATTTAGTAGCAACCTGACTAGAGATGACACCTAGGTAATCTTGCCGTTGAGGAGAAGAGATGATGTGGGTTAGGAGGTCCGTGTAGATAGAACTATGTCATGTAATGCGCGGTGGGCGTAGTCACTCATTAAGCTTCGCCCTTATGCAAACTGTACTGCGCTTTATGCCTGCTGCAGCCCAGCCGCGTCGCGGCAACGCAGGTTGGATATCTTGACGAGTGCCTGGACGAGTTACTTTGGCGTCAACTGAGATATTCATTTGTCATGTCCATCTTACTCAGATTAGTTATTTTTCAGCGATCAGATCTCAACCCTTCGCACTGTGCTCAAGTCGAACAAGTTAACAGCCGAGTCAGCATTGGCTTCACTTCGGGACAAATACGAGGCTGACAAGAAAGCCCATCAGGTCCGACTCTACCTGGTGACCCTAATTGCGACCTCTTGCGAACCGTTGTTTTAGGAGATCAGTGAACGCATGCGACGTGAGCTGAAGCAGCTCAAGGAGGATGCAGCCACATTTGCCAGTCATCGGGCCATGTTCACTGCTCGATGTGAAGAACTTCAGGCACAGGTAAGTCCCCCCCCCTCCGAGACTTCTTCGTGGTTTTGCTTGACCGTATAATACTACTTTAGGTCGAAGAACTGGAAGCGGATCAGCGCAACAGCGAGGAGGAAAAGAAAACTCTCAATCAGCTGCTTCGTCTTGCGATCCAACAAAAGCTCACTCTCACACAGGTGGGTTTTCTACTGGCCTAGAAGTTCTGTCGATCAGCTCATGGGAGTATTGCAGCGTCTCGAGGATGTTGAAGTAGATCGTGATCGGCAAGTACTCCGACAAAGCGGCGGAAAACGACAGGGTGGTCCGGCCAGAAGTGGTGATGGCTTTCAACCGCGCGTCATCCGTTATCCCACACAGCAGCAGTCGGGGGGCCCGAGAGGAGGAGTTCGCAGGGACAATCAATAGGTAGCTTTAGGCATTTTTGTTATTTTGTTACGGTATCATTTAAGGTACAGCCTTAGCAGGAGCGTCGTCTGCACGGTGGTGGAAATCGAATAAGCATTATAAGTATAATAGCAATCACCTGTTCCTGGAGTGAAAAAAGAGCTCCATGCCTGCGCACCCTGTTTCCATGCCAGTCTAGCGATTTTCTTGTCGCTGTGGTCCCTTATTTAACCCATAGCTTTCAATTACTCAGTCCACCAGTTCATATAGGCGTCGACACTGAACCACCTGGACTTTCTTGCTCTT